ACTACTACTACTACCACCACTACTACCACTACTACCACTACCACTACCACTACTACTGCTACTACTACTGCTACTACTAATATACTACCCTACATTGCACTACACTAATCACATCTAATTTCACAACACTACACTAACTAACAACTACAGCTACAACCTACAGCTAGAATCACAACAACAACAACAACTACTGCTGCTGCTGCTGCTGCTACTGCTACTGCTACTTCTACTGCTACCACGGCTACAACTACAATTACAACTACGCTACATTACACTACACTACACAAATTACACTGCAGTACACTACAACTACAACTGCAACTGGAACTACAACTACGTACAACTACCACTACATTACACCACACTACGCTAGACTACACTTTACCACACTACAGTACACTACACTAGACTGCACTAATTACACCACATTACAACCACAAGTACAGCTGCAACTGCAACGACACCTACACTACACTAATTACACTACACTACAACTACAACTCCATTACACAACAGCTACAACTACAACTACAACTGCGCTACACCACGCTACATCCAGCAGTTGTGGTGAGGTGACCACTGCAACCACTGCAACCATTCCAATAAATATAGCTCCAACCACCTTTCGGTCCATCAGCGGATTCGCTCTGCCATCCGTGATCAACAACCAACCTCTCCTACAGGTTTCCTATTCTTGAAACTTCCGCCACCGCCTTGTGCGGTACTACTGGTATAATTATATGATTATATAGGTCAAATCATTTCATGCAAATTGAAAATTGTTTAAGATAACCCCCGCTGGTCCTGGTCTCTGGTGAAATCATGTGAAGTAGCCTTGTATCTTATACACCTCCCTGCCGTTTCGGTGCAGAGCGCCGCCCCGTATGGGGGTGTCATTTTGGTAAAGTGTCGTGGGCAGCTATCCTTCAGCCAAAATGAATACACATTCATGAGTATCTCATCCAAGCCTGTGGTTTCTGAGGAAGATTTGAGAATAACCCGTCCAAGGATTCTTCGGATGGAGAACGACACCGCTGAGACCACAAACAAATACCCCGGGCAACTGGACACACTGAGGCATCTCGAAGGTATTGTATGCCATCTTTTATGCATTTTTTTTTGCGTATTTGCTAAAGCTCCTCCCAAATCCCCAATAGTTTTATGCACGATTTCTTTTTTGTCGTGCTGCCCGTGCATTGAAGAAATTGATCACAGTGATCCCCAGACACAAGTTTTGGAAGAATCGGTTCTAGAACACCCATACCGGAACCGTAAGAATAATTTGGGGCACTCACGCTTGGACTTTGTTTTTGAAAGCTTTGTAACAATGCCTCTAGCATCGGAATAAGGAAAGCGATCTACACTGACCAAAAAGCAATGTTTTCTGAAAATTGTTCAAAAAACCAAAGTTCCAGGTCAATTAACATTTTTGTATCCGTGGCTTTCCTATATTGAATTGATCATGAAGAGTCAGAAATGACGCACGGAGGAAAACATTTTTAATGCAAACGGCAACAAAAGTGTTCGCTCTTCTTGGGAAAATCCTGTATGTATTGGAAGTTCTACATGTATTTACAATATTACGTACCATACACACATGCTTCAGTATACATATAATATATATATATTTATATAATTATTGTGTTTACAAAATATAGTGTTTACAAAAGAAATTAAGCAATGATGATAATGACCTCATGTTTAAAACCAAATACTGTATATTCAATTGTCTAAAGTATATGTACGATGATACAAAGAAATACACAGAACAGAATTGTCATTATTGCATTTCAACGATTCTGACATACTCAGAGGGCACTTCGGCGACTCACGCGGCTAGCAAACTCCTGCAAAGTGAAATCTTGCGACAGTCGGTCTCTTGGACAGATTTGGTCCTGGTCTTCAATCTGGATTGCGAGAATGTCCAGGAGATGGCAAAGCAATTCGATACAATCAAATGAACCTTAAAACACAACAATACAGTCGAAAACCGAAACTAATTTCATCATGTGGGTGTTTCCTAAAATAGGGACCCCAAAACCATTGGTTTCCTCATGAAGTCATTAACCAATTAGATCCAATTACTTGGATGATAACTTGAGCTCCCTCATGGCTTGGGTCCTGTCGAAGCTCTGATGGCAGCGTCCGCGGATCTAAACACAAGCGAACCTGGCGACGATGGACATGCTTGATGGTTGCCTCCAAAAGAGGAGTTAACGCAAAGTAAGAAAGGGATATTCATGGAATTTCATGGAGTCATGGGGCCTATTGTAACATATTTGCTAACCATTTATAACCAACAAAATTGCTTGCTGGTTGCAGCGCATCCGGGCGCATCCCAAAGATAATCAAGATATTAAGATATATTAAGGGCTAATTAATTATTGGAGATCATCCCAAATACGGCGGAAAGTCAACATGAAACCACCAAGCAGCGGTGTTCGATGGTTTGCTTCGCACCAAAACTTTGCGAACAATTTTCGTCATCTGGCTGATGGTTTCCCTTCGGTGATGGATCGCAGATGACGGGTGTTTCACAAATGGAAGATTTTCCCAACTTACCAGCTTAAAGATATTTCCCAACTCAATCCTGACAGATCTGCCATGTATTTCATGTCCGAAACCTCTCATGGTTTCAACCCCTGAACAATATTCAGCCATTTCGGAGCAGAAACCCCGGAGAAAGGAGGAAAACAAACAATATGAGTTTGTCTGAAAATAGTGCACCATTTTGTTGTATTCAATGGCCATTTCGGAGGTATTTCCACTTTTCAAATCAACATAAATCAACCCAAATTCATTCATTTCACTGGTGAACTTCGAATACTTGATGGTCAAATCACCTTAACACCACAGAATTGCCAATTTCATCCAATTTCCACATTTTTGAGCTGCCAAATCCAGTTCCTCACCACCATTGAAGCCAACAGAAGCAGGAGGCAATGCCCGCAACTCCCACCTGGTCCGGAAGGGACTTGGCCATCAGCAGCGCTTCATCTTCAAAGGTGGCCAGGAGAAAGAGGATGGATCGCAC